TTGTGTGGTGGGTGTGGTGGGCGGTTGCGTAGTGGTGGTAGGTGTAGCTGGGCTTGGCGTGGTGGTGGTGGTGGTGACAGGTCTCAACGTGGTTGGATGAATTAAACCTGTGTAGGAGAGAAAACAGTGAAGCAGCTGCATAACTCGGCCACTAGATGGCAGCAGAACCCCAGAGCACTGACAGATACACACCCCTGGCTTATCATGAGCTCACGGAGTAGTTGTCAGTGAACAGTTTCTTATGTCCATGTCAGCAGGTCCAGAGCAACATGCTCCTTGATGTGGTGTCTGTGTCCCTCTGATGAGCCTCAGCCCAGTGGTCCCTCTCTGCTAACTCTGGGTTTGGCCTCCACCACCTCCTGAGGGAAACCACTGGCTCTGGAGCTGCTAAATACTGCAGTATGTTACCCAGCTACTCTCTGATGTGGTCTGGGAGCAGCAAATGTCGCCAGATTGGACTGAGAAAAATGCCTAACCAGAGTCTAGAAACTGTGCAACTGTGTTAAACTACCTCAGTTTTTGTTGGCGGAAAAACACTCAAAAGGCAAGAAATATAATTAAAACCCACCCAAAACCATTTCTATCCACCCAGTTCAATAAAAATTAACCCACTGAACCTGACAACACTCACAGCGGCTTTCTCAGAGCTTGTTTGATTGAGACAGCTGCCTGCTGCTTGAAATGCGTCGCAAAACCAAAACTAGAATCTAAATGAGGCTAAAAACCTCTGTAGAGCTGCAGAGATGGTGCTGGACTGCACACGACCCCTTTTATATTATACAAACTCATCTGATTCATAAAGGAAAATATTCAGTCTTTGACGGTGTAAGAACCGACAGTACCAATCACTTCCAAATGTAATAAAGCTGCCTGTGCACTGGGGTCAGGTGACTCTTTACAACAGGACCTAATATGAAGACTTTGCAGGTTTTGATGAAAAGCATATGCGGTTACCTTTGTAGATGTCGTAGGTGTTGATGCCCTCCTGAGCCTTCATTAGAGGACAGTCCTGCTCCGTCTGACAGTGGAACAGGAAGCAGTTGTCGTCACCGGCGTGCTTGTTGGCATTGAACACAGCCATGTTGCACTTGGCACCTGCAGAAACACACCAGCATGTAAACTTCATTATTGCAAAGAAATTAACTCTTAGCTGAGGGTGTTTAATGATAGGTACATTTAAAGTCGGGTTAAAGTAGAAATAAATGCGTTCTGAGTTTGTCACATCACAGGAAGATGTGTTAACCACCCAGACAAATGTGAATGATTACAAAGGGGGGGTGAAAACCCTGAAGGTATAGCATGTTCTTTCCAATACTTTGTTACGCTATGTCAGGGCAGTGCTTCCTACCTGGCAAGGTGGGTTTACTCTGTCTGATCTTTGATTCCTTTTGTAGCGAGGCACCTGTCTAACTTTATAAAGTGACTGAATGTTACCAGGCGAGCTCCATGTGATGTCCTTAGATGTGAGCTCTCACACCACAACACAGCAGTGTGACCCACTTCAGTGTCTCAGCTTGGTCCTGGAACACAGCTCCTCGTCTGCGGCTGGGATGTCTGAAGCTGTTCATGTTTATCGCTGTGCCTATGTGAGACTATACTGGCACTTTTATGCATCATATACTTAAAGGATGATATAACATTTGTGCACAAGCTCAGAGGTGACACTAAAGAAACTACCCCCGTGTTTCTGCTCCTCATTTGTGAACTTGTCACTTCCTTATTATAGCTGAGTGTTTTAGTAAAATGTTAATTGTGTGACCGCTGCAGTTATTGTTTTCAAACACCTGCTCCTTGCTTTACATGTGAGTGAGGCCGGTGTTGTCAGACGTACACAAATAAAGGCGCACTGTATCTTTATTAATTCTAGAAAGCTTCAGTAATTCTGATACAGAAAGGAGCAGTCGTATACTTTTAGGCCTTGTCTTGCTCCCTAAAGTCAGGTCAGGAGGTCGTACTTGATCTACAATGACAGTGGCCCTGGCAGTGAGAGTCACCTGGTTTAATCTCCTCTGAGCAGCATGCGAGGACACAGTCCCTCTCGGACCGCACCACCCGAGCGTCATTGGCCGTCACCGCTCTGGTTAATGCCAGTCTGAAATTGACAATAGCGTTCTGGTGTTGTCTGGAGAAACACGTCTCTGGTTCCACAGCTGACACAGGGAGTGATGCCATCATTAGCATCGCAGCAGCGGAGACGAGCAGCCGGCGCGTCCATGTGAGTCGGCTGGATTCTGGAGGAGACATGGCTGCAACAGGTCTACACTCTGATCAGAAATGTCTCCACTGTCTGTCCACAGGAGGAGGCGGAGATCCACACAAATGATCTACAGGACAAAAAGACAGCACACACTCTTTACTTTCTACTTTGCAGTGCAACAACTGAGGTGTTTGGTAACGGAGGTAATGCTGACTTTAAGCACTATTCATCCACATTATAAACAGACCCTTGCTGTCTGCGGCAGCTTAACCTCTAACCTGGGCTTTCTAATAAAGTGAACTGTTCTGCACCTTGTGGCTGTTCAGTGCAAGGTTGTGTTTCCACATCAGACCATTGTTAGACTCCACTACCAACCTGGTGTATGACTACTGAGAGGTCTGCAGGGCAAACTAAGCCAATAACAGACTGGAGACATGTTATATGGATTATATCCAATTATGTCGGAACAAAGTGCTTGCCAGCTCATCCCTGGTCTACACAGCACCACAGGAAATACACAAGGTTACAGAAATCAGAGTGAGCCACCATCTCTGCAGCAGAGACAAACCTGTGCTACTTTGCTTTTACTGATTTGTCTGAACACCTCCAGCATCACATTTCTTCTGTCATTTCTCACAAATGGAGCAGAACGGGCAGCTCGATGAAGCAAGTTAGGGCCTCGATTATGTTGGAATCATGACCAAATCTCATGGACAGACAGCACCCATCAGTCTGAAAAAACACATTTGTGTGGTTAAAACAGTTTAGTGGAACTGAATTTATACACTGGATTTAAAAACCCCATGAAAACAGGGCGAGTGCTTTAGGACAAGAATCCAAAGAGGAGGCCTGTTGACTTTAGGGCTGTATTCAGGATTTTTTGGTTTGACTTCTAATCCCTTTAGAAAGGAAAAGGATAGAATAAACTTTATTGCCCCCATGGGAAAATTTGTCTTGAGTTGCACATGGCTGCATCACAGAAAACCAATAAAATATACATTACTCACACTCTCACCCAGCAATAATAAAGTTATAAAAACAGAGAATCAAATAACTGTGCCCACTAACAGAGTAAAAAAATTAAATAATGCACATTTCCCATACGTGCCATCTAACAAGGCAATTTAACCAGTACTATTTAAAATGCTTTATAGATAGTGGAACAAACGGGTTCATGTAACACTGCTGTGGCTAACGCAGCAGCCTGCCGGACTACTGATCGTAAACCAGTAATGAAGCTTTCCACTCGTAGCTATGGCATCTCTCTGGAGGTGAACATCCTAGTGGTTGTTTCCATACTGTGCACAGAGGAGCTGGCTGTTTGCTGCAGTGCAGGTTGTTGACAGTCACTTCTGATGGATTAGCTGAACCCTGTGTGTCAGGCAGAACAGGGGAAGCTCACCGGGCCCATGATAAGTCTGAGCAAGTCTCTACCGACACACTGAAAGTCATATCACACAGAGCGACAGCGTACATACTCCAGCAGACCGACTTTGAGTTTCAGGCCGAACAACATTATCTCTGTTGGACTTGCTCTGACTCAGCTGAACCTCCTCAGTGTGTCTCAGCTCCTGTCACGTGTAACACTTCAAAATCTCTGTTTGCCCACCCTGAGGCCCAGATCTGTCTTAACTGACAACAGCACAAAAAGAAGTGAAATTAGAAACCGGTGTGAGAGCAAAAATAGAAATCTAAAAACTGAAGTGACACCTGCAGGAGTCAGCAGATACAGTAGATTCTTATTTTAGATTTCTGATTTTTCACAATGAAGACAAACTCCTAAAACACATTTAAATGATGTTTTCAGAGCATGTCCAGTCTTGTTTAAGCCCCAAATGTGGGATTTAGCACGAGATAAAGTTTTCTCAAATCTTTCTTTTTGGTTGGTGACTAGCTCCTGACTGAAACATTAAATTGTCTTCAGATTTCATATAAAAGCCCCAAATACCTGGCAGCAGTGTGAGCAGTCCTCTATCAGAAGCTCAGTGGCTCTTTGGGTCCACAGTCCGCAGAGCAGGACTTTAGCCTGGCTCCCGGGACAGGGAGGGATAACTTCACCATATCTCCTTTACAGCTATTGGACCCACTATCATCAGGGTTAACAACCAGCGGCACCTTGATCATGTTAGGACCTTTATCTGATCACACCTCGATATGTTAAAGTTAGCAATAACTAATATAACCATACGGTATGTTTTATAATGGGGGGATAAAACTCACAACTGACTTTAATTATTCTACACGCCCGGATGTCACAGAACCAGGATAAAACAGTAGAAGTACGCAAGAGCATTTACTTCAGTAAACGTTATATTACCGCCATGTAAAAATACTAGTGCATTCAAGGTTTTGAGGTCGAAGGGGGAGTGAAAGCGAAGCCGAAATGCACAGACGTGGAAAGATCCGTCTTAGCGGCGCGAACCTGAAGCGAAGCCGTGTCCTTTACAAAGTGATTCAGTCCGAGCGAACAACTTCGCGCCTGCGATGAGCTCTGGTTTAGTAGCACAGACCGCAGATGAAAAATGGTTTTGGAAGTTGGACTTACAGCTAGAAAGATTTCTAATGTCACATAACCTTGTCGTTAGCGTGTTCGCTGTTTGTGGCTAATAAAAATTTAAAGTAACCGCTTCGCGTTCGATCTGAACACTTGGGTCTATAGGCTGGAACTGCTAGCTACAGGCCACAAAACAAAACAAAACGCTATTTCACACGCACTGCTGTAATGCACATCTGGGGTAATAAACGGTTTCATAACAGGAAGCCAATTCCCGTGTTTTTGTAACAGTTCGCCTCTTTGTTATCCAACATGTCGCTGTGCTGGTTTTAATGAATATTACCAGAGAATTCAGCCTAAACTGGGACACACAGCAACATGGTTTAATCTGGGGGAGCTCCACACCTGTACTTCCACCGAGGACACGGATTCAGTCGGCGCGGCGTCCGCCACCCATCCGTGGTCGGGGAGCAGCCTCGGGAGTCGGCGTTGGACTGGAAACCCACCAGCAGCGGGTCAGTCCAACCAGTTTCATCCCCAGTAAGCGACCACGAAGCTTTACCCATCCCGAGAGGACATGTTGATTATCAAAACAATTGGTCGCACGATGCAGAAATTCTCCCACATGAAACCGCGTTTTTCAGCCTTAAGTCAGACAAACGGCTCCGCGCCACATCCACGGTCTCACCGGCGGATCATCTGCTGCTGTGATGGAGGAGGGTCGGTCCCAATGTCCGGGATGATGAACTACATTATGGCTGGTGCGGAAGATGTGTTTCTCTCCGGAGTCTGACCCATTTTAGTCTTTGTCCTCTAGTGGGGGTTGGGGGATGGAGCCTGCATCCCAAACACGGCTCCAGCACACGGTCTAATTATCACCGCGCCTCAAAACGCACGTTAAATACACACAAAACATCAGATAAGCAGCTCACTGCTTCCTTGGCCTGGAAATAAACGTTTGTTTGTAAAATCAAGTGATGAACATTAACCGAACAACACGTGAAAGACAAGCTTCTCCAGCAGGTCAGATTTACAGCAGAGATTCATGCAGGACTGGTGTAAATCAGAGGGACCCAGCTGACTTTATAAAACCTCTAGGAAACGTAAGGAAGCTCGGCAATGACAAGAAAATAAAATGTTTTGTGCTGAAAAGCTTGGAATCACTTTACGGCCAGTAAAAGGGGGGAACACGAATTTAGTGTTAGGAATGACAGACAAAATAATAAAAAAAACAAGTGAAAATTATGGCAATTATAAACCAAAAGTCTGAGTTTTTAAACCAAGACTGACTTATGTCAGAAATGTGACGTACTAGGTGACAAATCAAATTCAAGCAGGTACAAAATGTCACCATCTTTAAGAAGTGAAAAATACTAAGCCAAACAAACACTTACGTCTAAATTATGAGGCATAATTTGGATTTATACATCAAAAATTTCACTTCTATCAATATCTCACCGCATATTTTGATTTATAAGTACATATCAAACAAAATGTGTATGAATGGACACCAGACAATAGAAATGACAGTCTTTCTTAAAAATGGTGGTGAGCCAACAATAAAGCCGATAACACCAATATCAAAATACGGACTCTTTACGATACCACTGATGCTTTGGAATTTAAATGTGTGTATACTTGGTCAGAATGAACCAACAAACAAAAGAAAATTTAATGCTACTGGCCATGAACCTATGATTTATCAAAATGAAAAGGCCTTTAGTTGTAATTATGATGCAAAAATTACACTTTGTTTTCTTCTCATGTCAAAAGTACCAGTTAATGAGTCATAATCTTGACTTAGCATCTCTTGACATTTTAACAAATTATGTCATGGTCCTGGTCAGAAATGTCAAAACTATCACATTTACTAAGATTAAATACTGGAAAACCTTAAAGTATGTGAAAATAATTTTCTTTTAAGTCAAAAACTGTGAAGCAGCATGCACATAATTAGTCAGAATTATAAAACGACATTTTAATTCACCGTTGCATAAATTTTACTCAGCACCACAGAACTTTAAGCAAACATTCTGACCTACACTAAGTATTTTTATCTTTCCTAACATTTAATTTTTTTGGCTTAAATGTGCTTCCTGTATGTTTTCTCAACAAAATCTCACCCAGTGTTTTCATCCCTCTGAGCACAAACTGTAGCAGACTTTACTTCCACCACTCACTCGTGTCTGAGACCTGCATTCGTGATGACCTGTGTCCCTGCCGTCTGTCCGACTGGTAGACAGGATGTTTCCCTGCGTGTCAGAGAAACAGCAGATCACTCTGTCGCCTCTTCACTCTACATCTGCCATCTCTACATCCTGCTGGGATCCAGCTCCTTTCTTCTTCTTGCTCAGAGCTGAGGCAAAGTCCAGTGTCTTCAACGGTGGAGCTGCCGGCTCAACTGAGGACACTGGTGACAACGGAGGAGAAAGCTTTGAAATATCATCATCATCATGATGATCATCAAATGATGCTCCCCCTTTTCTATGGTTTGTGAGAGATTGTGCTTTGTTCTCGGCAGGATTCTCTCAGAAACATATTTCCGTCAAATGTGCATTTTAACTGCTTAAATGATTTATTTATCAAGGACCATGTACAGAACCATTCATCTCATACAGTGAGACAAGCTGCGTTGTACCAGGTTTAGCTAAAGGCTCATTTGCATCTGTGGCCCCTGGGCAAGGAAACACAGCACACAGCGGGTGGCCAGCGCAAATAAATACAAAGTCCCAGCAGAGTTCGTTCATCAACAAACACTATGATGAAAACTATCCGATGACCAACGCAATGAGACCAAACAAAGAGAAAAGCAGTAACAAGAACTATGACATAATGTTTCACAGTTTTTATTGACATAAAGTAAACGACAGTGTCAAAGACGCACAAACGGGACATGAAGAGACACGACATTAACACAAGGTCACAAACCACCTGCGGCGGCGGGAGCGCCTGCTCAGTGAGGCGGTTTGCCTCTGAACGTGTGTCTGAGCACAGCTTTACAGTGTAGCTCACTGGGATGCGAATATGGTGTAAAGCTGTGCCCAGTCTCAGTCACCACCTACCTTCCATACTGGCCTTCTCCTGCTGCAGCTGCTGCAGCTGTTTGAGCTCTTCTTCCTTCTTCTTTCCAGACAGAGTGATGTTTGCTCTTGGACTCAACCTAATGGACAAAGAAACAAGTCAGATACGATGGTGACAGAGAGGTCGACGGCTGCAGCGCTGTTGTTAGCCCTGGTACCAGACCCAGGCCTTTACACCTCACAGCCAAACAAACCACCCTCTCATTAGCTAGCAGAGAGGATCACTGCAGACCCCTCCCAACGACAGTATGATTGGACAATAAACCTCAGTGCAATACCTGTAAATATACCTCATACAGATTATACAGGTCCACACAGATCTCTATTTTTATTTCACTTCCTCATGAACATTCCTTTGCATTGTTTATTGCCTGTTTATATTATTTTTTATATTATTATTTTTAACAAATAAGAAATAGGGACAAGTAAACAGCCTTATGCTGTTTACTTGCCCCTTGCATGGGGATATGTACATGCACATTGAGAGCCGATGTACCAGAATCAAATTCCTCATGTCCAGCACACCTGGCCAATAAAGATGATTCTGCTTCTGCTACACTGATCTCACACACTTTTATTCACATGCTGATCAAGTGGGATCTGGTAGTGCGATGCAGTCACTCATCACTGACCTTCTCTTCTTCAGGTGATGCACAGTGATGAGGCCCTGGTCCACCACGGCTCCGACTATCTGATGCTGCTTCTTCTTCTTCTTCTTCTTCTTCTTCACAGTTTTCAGAACTCGCCTACGCTTGAAAAGCTTTTTGCCCAACTCCTGCAAGAAAACAAGTAAATAAGCACAGTGACAAGGCTGATTTGTAACTCTGTTAGATGAAGACGCTGCAGAGGTTTACAGGTGTTCTTCTGCTCGTCACCGAGACACTGACAGTCAGCTCCTTCAGTTCAAGAACATGTGACTGTCACCGACAGAAATATCAGAGAAAATCAATCTTCACCTTGTAAAGTGACCATCAGTCCAGCAGAGGGCAGACTGGGAGCAGAAGAGGGAAACCTGGGCTCTCTAAAAACATTCTCTGCACTAAGCAATTGCAAAGGTCTTCTTAATATCATCTTTGCGCCTTTTGCCTCTGGTAGATAGAATACAGTAAAAAAAGTAGATGAAAAGAAGGCGGGTTTTCTATTCTTAAGATTTCTTTATATTAATGGTGCATCCCTTCATTTTGTTTTCATACACAGTAGAACCTCTACAATCTTAATAAGTCTCCGTACTGACGTGTATACACCTGCATACTCACAGACACAGATTTAAAGGGCTGTAAAACAGGTTGAACCGCACTAATGAACTAACCACGGTTTCCATTAGCAGTCCGTGCTAACGTTAGCTGCTAACACTCACATTCATTAGCTTAGCTACAATGAAATTATAGAACAGGAGGTTTAGCCGCCTTCTCGTCCTAAACTCTATCCTCCTCACCAGTGATCGAAACCAGAGTTTTTTACAGTTTTTGGTCTGTATATCTTCCCTCGAGAAGGAGCCATGCCGATGCTCGCACATTTGCAGAGCCCAGTTTCTTCTTCTACTGCTTAAAGTCGGCGAACTTCTTCTTCTTCTTCTTCTTCTTCTTCTTCTTCTTCTTTATGTTGAATACAGTGAACGCTGCTCTCACTGCCCCCGTGTTTTCTCATTGTGTTGTGCAGATGTTCCAGCAGCTCTTACGAAGGTGGAGTCAGGTGTGCAGAGTAACAGTTTGTCCAGGTCTTTGTACAACTTCCAGATTGGGCCTTTTAAAGGAACACGGGGAGTGCTTAGGGTAAAATCTAATTATGCAAATTACAGTGTCTACAGTCATCATAATAATGAGTAAAGTTTACAAAAAGCAAAATTAAGAAAAATAAATGTTCCTGTTTGAATATTGGTGGTCGGTACTACAACTTCAAATCAAATCAAATCAAATCAAATCAAATCAAAT